CTTAGGACTGGAACCAGACAAGGATGTCCTCTATGTCCACTACTATTTGACATAGTGCAGAAAGTTCTAGCCAATACGATCAGGCAAGAGAAGGAAACAAAGAGCATCTAAATGGGTGCAGAGGAGGTCAAACTTTTGCTCTTTGCCAATGATACTATCTTATACTTAGAGAACACCAAAGACTCAACCAGTAGACTCTTGGAAATGATCAAAAAATACAGCAATGTCTCAGGATATAAAATCAATGTCCACAAATCAGTAGCCTTTGTATATGCCAATAATAGTCAAGATGAGAAGCTAATCAAGGACACAATTCCCTTCACAGTAACTTTAAAAAAAATCAAATACCTAGTAATATACCTAACAAAAGAGGTGAAGGACCTTTACAAAGAAAATTATGAAATTCTAAGAAAGGAGTTAGCAGAAGATATTAACAAATGGACAAACATATCATGGTCATGGCTAGGAAGAATCAACATTGTTAAAATGTCTACACTACTGAAAGCTATCTACAGATTCAATGCAATCCCCATTAAAATACCATCATCATACTTTCAAGATTTATAAAAAATAATTCTTTGTTTTGTATGAAACCAGAAGAAACCCCATAGAAGCCAAAGCACTTCTTAGTAATAAAAACAAACCTGGGGTATCACCCTACCAGACTTTCAGCTATACTACAAGGCCATAGTGGTCAAAACAGCATGATACTGGCACAAAAATAGAAACATTGACATTGGGAACCGAATAGAAAACCATCTTACAACCACCTGATGTTTGATAAACCAAATAAGAACATATAATGGGGAAAATAATCCCTATTCAATAAATGGTGCTGGGAGAACTGGATAATAGCATTTAAAAGACTGAAACTGAACCTGCACCTCTCAACGCTCACAAAAACTGATTCAAGATGAATAAAAGATCTAAATTTAAGGCATTAAACAATAAAAATCCTTGAAGAAAGTATCTGGAAAACACTTAGAGATATTAGCCTGGGGAAAGACTTTATGAGGAAGACTTCTGTGGCAATTGCAACAACAATAAAAATAAATAAATGGGACTTAATTCAATTGAAAAGCTTCTGTACAGCTAAAGAAACAACAACCAAAGCAAACAGACAAGCTTCAGAATAGGAAAAGATATTTGCATGTTATGAATCAGACAAAAACTTGATAACTAGAATCTATAAAGATCTCAAATTAATCAACAAAAGAGAGCCAACATTCCCATGTATCACTGGGCAAGACACATGAATAGAACCTTCTCTAAAGAAGACAGATGAATGGCTAACAAACATATGAAAAAATGCTCATTGTCACTAATCATAATAGAAATGAAAATCAAAACTACCTTAAGATATCAGCTAACGCCAGTGAAAATGGCCCACATCACAAAGTCTCAAAGCTGCAGATGCTGGCATGGATGTGGAAGAGAAGGGAACACTTATACTGCTGGTGGGTCTGCAAGCTAACACAACCTTTTGGGAAGAAAGTATGTAGAAGCCTCAAAGAACTCAAATTATATCTCTCATTTCATCCTGCAATCCCATTTTGAGGCATCTATCCAGTAGAAAAGAAATCCTTTTATCATAAGGACATTTTCACTAGACTGTTTATCACAGCTCAATTTATAATTGCCAAAATGTGGGAACAGCCTAAATACCCGCCAACCCAGGACTGGATTACCAAGCTGTGGTATATGTATACCACGGAATGCTATTCAGCCACTAAAAAAGACGGAGACTTTACATCTTTTGTTATTAACCTGGATGGAAGTAGAATACATTCTTCTTAGTAAAGCATCACAATGGAGAAGCAAGAATCCAATGTGCTCTATTCTAATATGAAGGCAGTAGGTGAGCAAATACAAGGTGGGGGGGGTAGGGAATGAGCAGTTGGGGAGAGGGGAAGAGGGAGGGAGATGGGGGTCACAGTGTATGGCACACCACTTGGGGTTGGGACACAATTATAAGAGAGACTTTATCTAACAAATGGAATCAGTGTCACCTAATTCTTTGTATCATCAATAAATCCCAAACAATAAGGAAAAAAAAAGAATTATATTTCACTTCTGTTCAGAAACCACACAAGCAAGAAGAGAGTGGAATGAAATATTTAACTGTTGGAAAAAAAACCCACCAAGCTAAAAGTCTATATTCTGTGAAATTTATATTTCAAGAGTGAAGCAAAATAAAGACTTTCTCAGACAAACAAAAATTGAGGGCAATTTTTTCCAATAGACCTCCTTGCAAGAAGTGTAAAAGAAATTCTCTAGAGAATAGGAAAACAATATAGGTTAGAAATTCAGATTTACATAAAGACAGAGAGAACGTCAAATAAAGAATAAGTAAAGGTAAAATAAAAACTTTTATTTTTCTTATACTTACTTGCTCTAATAGAAAACAATTTATTCAAAATAATAGCATTAATATATTCTAAGAAACTATACTGATTTTCTACAATCTTTTCCAGAAGATAGAGGCAGGGGGAATACTTCCTAATGTATTCTATAAGGCCAACATTACCCTAATACCAAAACAGGACAGATAACCAAAATCCCAGTAAATTATTTCATAGATATTGACAAACTGATTCTGAAGTTTATCCAAGGAGGCAAAAGTCCCTGAATCGCCAACATAATATTGAAGGAGAATAAAGTTGGAGAACTGACACTACCTGACCTCAAGGCTACAGTAATCAGGACAGTGTTGTATTGGTGAAAAAATAAACAAATATTACCAATGAAACAGAACAGAGAATTCAGAAATAGACCAAAAGAAATACACTCAACTTATTTTTGACAAATGAACAAAGATAGTCTTTTCAAGAAATGGTGCTTCACAGAATGTTTATTGCAGCCCAATTCATAATTGCTAAGTCATGGAAGAAGCACAAGTGCCCATCGACCCATGGGATTAATAAATTGTGGGATATGTACACCATGGAATATTATGCAGACTTAAAAAAGATGGGGACTTTACCTCTTTCATGTTTACATGGATGAGGCTGGAACATATTCTTCTTAGCAAAGTATCTCAAGAATGGAAGAAAATGTATTCAATGTACTCAGCCCTACTATGAAACCAATTTATAGCTTTTGTATGAAAGCTATTACCCAACTATAGCCCAAGAAGAAGGGGAAAGAAGAGAGGGAGGGGAGGGGAGAAGGAGGTTGGGTGGAGAGAGGGTAATTGATGGGACCACACCCATGGTGTATTTTACAAGGGTACATGTGAAATTTACTAAGTGTAGAATATAAATGTCTTGCCACAATAACTAAGAGTATGCGGCGAAGGCTATGTTAACCAATTTGATGAAAATATTTCAAATTATATATAAAACTAGCACATTGTATCCCATGATTGCATTAATGTACACAGCTATGATTTAATAATAATAAAAAAGAAATGCTGTTTCACATTTTGTAAATTGTTTCATTTTGTAAATAACTAGACATCTGTGTGGAAAAAAATGAATCTAGACTCAGACCTTGTTCCCTTCACAAAGTTTAATTCAAAATAAATCATAGACCTATATGCAAAACAGAAGAATATAAAACTCCTAAAAGAAAACATAGAAAACATAGACGACTTTGAGTATGGTGATTACTTTTTAGATATAATGCCAAATGTATAGTCCATGAAAGAAAGAATTGATAAGGCAGATTGAATTAAAATTTAAAAACTTCTATTCTGCAAAAGATAATGTCAAGAGAATGAGAAAGACAAACCAGAGATTGGGAGAAAATATTTGTAAAAGACATATCTGATAAAGGACTGTTATCTAAAATATACAAAGAAATTTAAAACTCAACAAAAACAACTTGATTTTTAAAAATGGTGCAGAATAGATTCTGGGTAGGTGAACATATTGAAGTGTATATCTTTTTCATCTGGCTATTCCTGAATTATATCCTTTATAATAATTCAGTAAACATAAGTAAAGTATTTTCCTGGGCTCTGTGAGCCATTCTAGAAAATTATTGAACCCATGGAGGGGGTCATAGGAATTTCTGATTTATAGCTGGCTAGTTAGAAATCTATGAGGCCTGGACTTGAGCTTGGGATGGGCAGAGAACTTTAATGTGTGGGATTTGATGGTAACTCCACATAGATAGTGTTATTTGTTAGTATTGGAAAACACTCTAGAATTCATGTCAGAAGTGAGATTTGCTAGACCATATCGGCTCATGGAAATGTCTTTTGAGAAGAGAAAGGATGAAAGGGTAAGGGATGAGGAACCTTTTCACCTGGTGCTCATGTGTTACCCATGTTATGGAGTAGTTCCTGTACTATGCTCAATCACAAAAGGTATAAGTTACACTGGAATTTAGAGATGGATCCAACTCTCGGGGAATTAGTTGGATGCATAAGGAAATGCACACTAATAAGAAAAAGGCAAAACCAAGAAACCATTGTAAAAGAGGGTATAGTGTTAAGGAGCTGTTTCATTCTGTAAATTGGCATCCTTGGCTTCCCAAGAAATCTTTACTAAAAATGATTATGAGAGTAATTAATTTTAGGACAGTGTCTTTGGTTTTGGAAAATTGTACTACCAAAGATAAGATGAACCAAATGGAGTCCATGATGGTCTCCAAACATTAAAGGACTCCAAATAAGTCTGCTGTATTTACCCAAGTTTGGAAAAAATTTACTGATAGGGAAACTGAAGCTCAGAGAAATTAATAAACTTTCCCAAAGTTACACATCAATAAATAGCAGAGTTAGGATATGAAGCCAGAAAGATTGTTCCCAAAACCTGTACTTATCTTACCCACTAAACTAAATACCTTTCGATATAAGGTTTATGTTGAAAATTATTATGATATTGCTTATTTTGAGATGGAGTCTAGCTATACTGCCCAGGCTGGCATTGAACTCTTAGATTCAAACAATCCTCCTGCCTCTGCTTCCCAAGTAGTTGAGATTATACTACATAGACATGTGCCTGGACAATTTTTCTAATGATGAATACATCATTTCTGTTGAAATAACTTACTTATTTTCAGATTCTGGCATTTGTTAAACTTTTGGAAGAACAAAATGAAACAAACACCTGTATGATAAAGTAATATAGAAAGTGATTCTTAGAAACATGTGAAAGGGCTCGGCGCCTGTGGCTTAAGTGGCTAAGGCGCCAGCCACATACACCCAAGGTGGCGGGTTCGAATCCAGCCTGGGCCTGCCAAACAACAACAGCTGCAACCAAAAAATAGCTGGGTGTTGTGGCGGACGCCTGTGGTCCCAGCTACTTAGGAGGCTGAGGCAGGAGACTC